AACGTTATCATACAGCTAGCCAGCTAGGTTAGCTTTAGCTAACGTTAGCTGCTACGTCCTGAGTAAACAGGAAGAACTGAACCAGCGACCATCTACATTTCAGTTCAGACCAAAAATTCTCCAGCAAAATCATAACCTGAAGAACAAAATAAAACCACCTGATAGTAAATAGATGCTTTTTTTTTTCTGATGACACACTTGGCTTGTGAGCAAGTTGAGATGGTGGGTTAAAAACACTTGTAAGCTAATTAAAAAGTTGATGTTGTGTTTCAGCATTTTGGTTTTATCCAAAGAGGCTCACAATGCAGATTGGAGTTAGCATCAAAGCTAACAATAAGCTACATAGAAGGAATCAGTGCGGGTTGTTTATGAAGGCCCAAATAGGGCTAAAATGGGATGAAATAACAAATGAATGAAATGAAAAAGCAAAACCAAGACAGATACCAACTAAAACCTAAATATAATAAACAAAAAGTCAAACAAGAACAAAAGAAACCTTAAACCCGGGGAAGTCAGAGCCTATCCAAGCTGACACAGCCAAGTTAGCTCATGACTTTTATTTTTCTTCTCACATTTGATATAAGTCTAATTTAAATAGAAAAATAGACAACCCCATTTTACACATGAGTTGTAGATATATATACTTGTGGAAGGCTTTATTTTCTAATTGTGCATGCTCACTTTGTTTTGATGGCGCTCCAATTAGGTCATTTCCTTTCTTTTTTTTTTTTAAAAAGATAAATTAAATAATAGACTTACAGCGGCAAAGCTCTCCATGTCAGAGCAGGGGTATCCCATGAAGGCTTGGGGTTTCCCAATGCTCTCTGTGTAGTACTGGTAGGCTCTGGCATGGTTGCAGGCATCAAACCTGGAGGTGCCTGGAAAAAGTGTGGATGTTCAGAAGGAAAATACAGAAGACCGAGAGGGGCTTTTGAGCAGGAAAGAAGAACGAGTGAAACTATCTGAATAAAACAACCAAGTCTTCTACAAGGTTTAACATAGAACTGGGGATGGATGTTAAACTTTTCAAGACGTTTCAAGATGATGTATTCAACTCCTACATTAGCCATAAAAACATTTGCTCATCTATCAACTTTCCAAATGACAGATGATGAATTTGCAACCCTTTTGCTCATTAAAACTAAAAATTTCAATTTAGAATGACTGAAAATATGCTGTCCATTTGCAACCAGGGACCCGTCTCAGACAAGGAAAGTCAGATTTGAAGTGCTTATCTATGAGATCAAAAGTGGGAGATTCAGTTGTGACTACACCCCCCCCCCCCCCCCCCCCTCCTCCAGACGGCATGGCACCAATGATGCCACTTGATCCGCACCACTCAGAGGCCCATAGTAGAAGAAGGTAGTCATCATGCGTTTAAAAAAAAAAGATCTCCTCATATGAGCCCATCCAGAATAACTCTTGCTTCTTTTTTTATTCCTCTACTGGGATGACTCCAGTGTTTCAGATTGGACGCACGTGCTGGAGAAAATAGGAGGGAGGAGTTAGTGGACTGTGGGTGACCCTGATAATGCCTGATGTCAACCTGAGAACGCGCGGTATGTCGAGTGGCCCCTCCCAAACGGAAAAAGAAAAGTCTGAAGAAGGAGCCAGCATGTCCAAAAGAAAGGAGGAAGAGATGGACTGCGGACATTTGGGAGGTAAAAAAAGGAAAAGGGTGCAAGATAACAAGTTACCTGATATATTCTGTGGTGTTTTTTGTGAAAAAGCCTGTGTTCAAAGTAAAAAAAGTTTTAAAAAATCTGAATATACACACTCTACATGCACTTGTCCTGATCTGGGTACTAAAGAAAAATACAAATAAAGTCTGCAATGTTTAGTGCTTTTCCTTAAGTCGATTTTTGTATTTTATCTATGAAAGTAAAGGAAAGGAAAATGCTGTTTTTAGGGCAATTGAATGAATCCATGCGATGGCCATTCACTGGAAAACTTTAAAGTTTTAAAATCCAAAAGCACTCATGGACAACACATTCATTATTCAATTAGAATATCAACCAGGATTCAATCTAAATACATGATAAACAACAAAAACAGGAGACTTGGTGTTGTCACGTCTGGGGGAATGTCTGGTGTCTCGTCATGTGTTGATTACCTATTGTGTTCACCTGGGGTTCCCCTCCCTCATGTGTTTAAATAGTCCTCGTTTCCCATGTCCTGGGCCAGTTCGTTTTCGTCATTTCTTCGTCACCCCTCGCCACGTAAGGTTTTGCTTTTTGCACTATGCAATAGTCTTGTTTTTGTTCCATAGCCATGTTTTTGTCATAGCCTTACTTTGCCCACAGTCTTGTTAACTTTATTGTTTTTGCCATAGCCTTGTTTACTCTTACTTGTTTACTCTTACTTTGATACTTTGCCACAGTTTTGTTGCCAGTGCGTTTTCGTCTTTTCGTCTTGCGTCTTTCGTCTCGTAAGGTTTTGCTTTTGCTCCATGCCATAGTCTCGTTTTTGTTCCATAGCCATGTTTGTTCACAGTTTTGCCACAGCCTTGTTTTTTTTTAACCTTGTCTGGACTTCCACTCTTTTGAGTGTTTTTTGTTCCATTAAACCCTGTTTTCTGCATCTGAGTCCTCCATCAAGATCCACCTCCCTGACAGGTGTATGATTACTACTGAATGTACACCTGTGAGTCCTCTCACCCTCCCAGATTGCGTCCAGGTCCGAGGGACGGCCGTGGTTGGAGGAGCACCCCGGCATCTGCTCTCCCCCGTTGGGATAGAAGTCGATGTGACCCACAGGCTCCGTCACCCCCAGACCTGACGGGAAAAGGAGCCACACATCCAGACTGTTTAATGTGTCGTTCCAAGATGGTGGAACCAGCTACCAAGCTACAAGAACAGCAGTGTCCCTGTCTGTCTTCAGAAACTCTTGAAGACCCCCCTCTTCAAAGAGCATCTCCTATCCTAACCCTAACCCGTACCTCTACCCCCCACAGCTCCTATCCTAACCCTAACCCGTACCTCTACCCCCCACAGCTCCTTCTGTAGTCCCTCTACCTCTATCTCTATCTCACCACTGACTCTGATCAGGGTTTCTCCTCTGGATAGCTTATTGTCATAGTGATGAGAAATGGAATATTGGGTCTACTCTGTAAGTCGCTTTGGATAAAAGCGTCTGCCAAATGCATGAACATAAACATAAACAAAACATAACATCCCGTTAACACAGCGGTCAAGCCTGCATGGAGTCCGTGCTGACGCCGCGTTACGCACCTAGCTTGGACTGGAACGGGCGCCCGTCGGTGTGGATGACGTCCACCAGGGCGGCGTCCCCGGGGTCCAGGCGCACGGAGGCGTCTGTGCCCTGGAAGTAGGGCTCAGCGGGGTCCAGCCCTGGGCAGAGACAGTGTAGTGGATTAATATCTAGAAATGAATACAGTGGGGGAAATAAGTATTTGAGCCCTTGCTGATTTTGCAGGTTTGCCCACTTACAAAGAATGCTTATTTTCCCTCATCAGATGGTTATCAATTTTTATAAATTCATGTGATGTGATTTTCTGGAATTTTCTTTGGGATTCTGTCTTTCACTGTTAAAATGTACATATGATTAAAGTTATAGATCGTTGCATTCTTTGTAAGTGGGCAAACCTGCAAAATCAGCAAGGGGTCAAATACTTATTTCCCCCACTATATATTATCACCACAAATGATTAATAGTGTGCTTTAACATATATCTAGAGAAGAAGTATATTAACATATATCTAAAAGAAGTGTATAAGAAAATAATGTGTGGCAGTGGAAAAAACCATGGTCCAGAAGTCAAACCATACTAAATGCTTGTAAGTGCAAGAAACTGCAGAATGCACTGGGCAGAGACAGTGTAGTGGATAAATATCTCACAATGAATATATTATCGTCATAAATTCATGGGCACCGAGACATCTTTCTGACATGTCAGAGCCAGATGGACCAGCTGGACTCTGAGAACCAGGTTCTGGTATCCTGCTGGGGCCCAGAGTCAGAACTAAACCAGGTTCTGGTCTCCTGATGGGG